TTTTTTTTTTTTTTTTTACTGATTTTTAAGCCCAGGACCTTATGCATGGTAGTCGAGTGCTCTACCATTGAGCTACACACTCAGCCCTTTAACTCACAGTTAAATATGGAATATACTACTTATTGGGCACTTTATATCCCCATGGAAAAAATAAGGTGTTTTTAGCTTTCAAAGTAGATATAAAGTATTGACTTTGTTTTTTTCTTACAGCTGAAAAATTTCCTGTCTTTTGGGAAATTTGAATGCTACATACTAATTTAATAACAATTCAGTACTTTTATGATTGATGGTAAGAAGCAATTTAAGGGAAGACCTTGAGGAATTTAGTATTTTTTTCAAAGAGACTTGCAAAAATAATAATACAGCAAACATTTTTGGAGGACCCAGCATGTACTGGCACGTGTACTATATGCACTTCACATTCCGTTTCTCATTTAGTCATCCTAGTAACTTCAGAGGGGTAAGTATTAGTATTAATCCTGTTTTATACTTGAGAAATTGACCTTTAAGATTAAGTTTTTAAAATTAAATTTTATTTTGTCCCTTTTCCCCCCTCAAGCCCTGTACAAAAGCTTTGTTTCTATTTCTTTTTTAAAAAGAAATTTTTTAAATTTTATCTCATTCTCCCCCTCAAGCCCCATCCCTTCCCTATATACAAAAGCCTTATTTCCATTTTTCCTTCTGTTTTCACTTTTTTCTTGTCCCTTCCTTCCTTTTTCCCTCCTCCCTTGTTCCACTGCCCATTTGAACATTTTCTTCCCATTTCCCAGTAACCATTATACATCTCAGTCCTTATTTCCACTTTTGGTTTCTCACACCAGAGAAACAATGCAATATTTAAACATGTGTGTCTCATTTATTTCACTTAAGAGTATGATCTCAAGGTCCATCCATTTAGCTATAAAAGTCTGAAGCTCATCCTTTATGGGAAAGTAGTGCTCCATTGTATTAAAAAAAAAACCAAAAACCCACATTTTTATCCACTCATCAGTTGATGGGCGTTTGGCTGTTCCCATGATTTAGCTATTACAAACTGTGCTGCTGTAAACATAAGTGTGGATATATTGCTGTGGTATGATGCTTTTAATTCTTTTGGGAGGATACTAAGAAGAGGTATAGCTGGGTCAAATGGAACTTCTAGTTTTAGTTTTTTGAGAAATCTAAACTGATTTCCACAGTGCTTGCAGCAATCTGCACTCCCACCAGCAGTGGAAAAGGTTTCTTTTTCCCCACAGCCCCTCTAGCATTTGTTATTGGTTGATTTCTTGATAGCAGCCTTTCTTTCTGGAGTGAGATGGAATATCAGCGTTGTTTTCATTTGCATCTCTCCAATGACCAGTGATGTTGAACATTTTTTTTCATACATTTATTTGCTGTTTCTAATTCTTTAAAGATTGTTAAGTTAACCAGCTGTGAGTGTTGAGCTTTACCTTTTGTGGAGTTTTTGTTCTTGTTGTTATTGTTATTATTAAATCAGGTGATATATTACTCCTATCTTACACCAAGTTTTCAAATTTATTTCACATGTATTTCACCCAGTATTGCTAGAAGTACCGTGAGTGCACAGAGCAGATTACTGATACATGTTCTGTAGCTCCCTATTTTTACTGTGATAATCTTTTTGTTAGTTTATTTTACATCAGCTGCTAACTGGAGATCGGTGTTCTTCCTCCTTCCAATTCCCCAAGTTCCTCCACAAAACCCACCCTGTTGCTGAAATGTTAAAATATCAAGAGCATATTACTTTGAAAACTAGTTATAATTTTGTATTTTGCTTCTAAATTTATTAAGCCAGAGGTTCTCCTCTTCATTTGTGCTAAAAGAATAGCAAAATGTTTCCTTTTCATCTTTCACTTGATCTTAGCCAAAAGGCCAAGAAGCGATTCCTTTTCATCTTTCTAGCTCAGCATTATCTCCTTGCTTGCTGTTGCTTATGTGTAAAATTCTTGTACTTCTAAGTAGAATACTTCTAACACAGTACACCAAATATATGTGATATCTTTCATGGTTTTATTTCTACATTTCTTAGGAAACTAGAAATAGAGTTATAACATCCTTACTCTCTGAAGTTTTTTTTTTTTTTCTTTTTTGGTATCGGGGATCGAACTCGGCTCATTGCGCTTGAGCAGCAGGCGGTGAAACCACTGAGCTAAATCCCCGGCCAAAGTATTCTATTTTTGTTTTGTTTTGTTTTGTTTTGTTTTGGTACCGGGGCTCGAACTTGGGTCCTTGCGCTTGCGCAGCAGGCGGCGAAACCACTGAGCTAAATCCTCAGCCCTGAAGTTTATTTTTTTATGAAAATATAATATTTTGTTCTCTTTTACTTATTTATTTTTTTGGCTTTGCTCCTTGTTATTTTGAATGCTTGGCTTTCTTCATCGAACAGTTTTGTTTCCTTTAATTCTCATAAAGACTTCACTATTAGTTATATTCATGTTATTTTATTAATGCATTTTTGTTTGTTTACATATTTATCTTATTTAAGAATGAGATTTCCTGGGCCAGGGATTTAGCTCAGTGGTTTCGCCGCCTGCTGCGCAAGCGCAAGGACCTGAGTTCAATCCCAGGTACCAAAAAAAATAAGGATGAGATTTTCTGTACTTAAAAAAAAAACCTTTCCAAAATCAAGTAGAAAAATTAGTGATTTTTAAAAATATATATTTCTTTTCTCTGTTTTAGGATGGCTACCATGGGGTAGTTAATATTGTGCCAGAGAAGCCACCACTGCTGGACAGACCTGGTGAAGGAAGCTACAGTAAATATCACAGTCATGTTGGCTACCAAGAGTATGTTGAGGGTTGCAGTTTTTCTCATGATCGAAGAAGTGGTCTACCTCACAGAGGAGTATGTAAATTTCCCCATGAACTAACCATTATTTCTCTCTCTTTTTTTTTTTGTATCGGGGATCAAACTTGGGTCCTTGCCGCTTGCAAGGCAGGCGGCGGAACCACTGAGCTAAATCCCTGGCCCTTAACCGTTATTTCTTATGTTTGAAATTCATGTAATTAAAATGTATGTGACTGCATAAAAGCAATTGAATAAACATTTCCAACCTGCTATAGCTGTCATATCAGGAATTGTAGTCATGAATCTTGGGGTACTGGACAAAGTGGGTAAGCACACTGGACAGCTCAGAATGCCATTAATTCCAGCTGGCTTACCTTTCTTGTTTGTTAGGGATCAAGCCAAGTAAGTACTTTTAAAATATTAACTGCTATCATTGGTATTTTAATTTTTCTCTTGATAAGTAGAAGTTCATAAAGTTGTGCTGATTTGTTATTAACCTTATTAAAAATATTCCTTGATGTTGTTCCCCTTTTAGCTTTGCATCTTTACAATATTCCTCTTTTACATGTTTTCTACCTTTTCCATTTCCCCTTTTGTACTGTATGTAACATAGTAATTAACAGGACATATTTAAACACTGTTATAATAAAATTTGATCTCATACTGGCTATGGGATTAGTCCCCATAGAGTACACTTGAAGAAATGGAGGTCAGCAATTTCCAGTGGTGGGTATTTACAGGACCTCAGTTCTCTTATTATTACATAATAGTACCTTTGACAGTTCCAAAGCGCTAACAAGACCATTCATTGTGTTCTTGTGTTTGTTTCTAAAGTTTGAAGTATTATAGTCTCCTTGTTATAGAATTGATTTTGTTTTTGGTTCAGATCTTAAATGTCATGCTGTTCCTTGCAAAGATGGGTCAGGTATTGAAAAGTAAATACTGTGCATTGTTTCTGTGCTAGAAATTTTAGATTTTGCCATCAGTCATTTTCCAGGTAGATCCAGGAGGAAACAATTTGATTGTAGCATAAACATTTGTTACCCCTCTTGTGAAAACCCTTTATGACCTTTTAATATAGACAGGGAGTTGTATTTTCTCTGGACTAGTTTTTAAAATGTTATGAGCATGTTTGTTTTTTTTTTTCCCTTCAAAATTGTACCATAGCAGGGGATTTAGCTTAGTGGTTCCAGCGCCTGCCTCGAAAGCGCAAGGTCCTGAGTTCGCTCCCCGGTACCAAAAAAACACTGTATTAGCGCTTCCAGAAGAGCACAGGTGTTTCCTATGGGTCTTCCAAATTTTGTTTGTCTGGGCTGGAGATACAGCTGAGTAGTAGAACTCTTTCCTAGCATGTTCAAGGCTTTCATTTCAATCCCCAGAACCATGAAACAAAAGAAAACAATACAGTTGTATTTGTCTTCATGCTTTATATAATATTTTTCTTTCATTTTCCTTCAAACACCAGGCACGCTTGTCATCCTTACACAATTCTCACAGTAATTATTATCTGGGGTCCACTTACATAAAACAAACTGCTTGATCTGGTATTGTATCACAGCTGTTGAATTGTTTCCTTTTGTTTATATTTAATGTTGAGAAGGAAAATGATACATAAATTTTACTTAAGATTAGGCATGTGTTGATAAAGAGGAACATGAAATTTTTCTTCTTGAATCAGTTTTCCTGATTATAATTTGTATGTTATAATTTTAATGTAATTGAGTATGGATTACTATTTTGTTCCTTTATGCACCTTTCAAATATATCTTAGAGGATAAAATGTGTTAATTAATATTAAATTTACTGCTACATGTTAATCTTAATATAGCTTATCAAGGACAATTCTTTACTATATTGCTTTTTGTTTGTTTGTTTGGTACAGGGGATTGAAGTTGGGTCCTTGCACTTGCAAGGCAGGCTGTGGCACCACTGAGCTAAATCCCCGGCTTACTATATATTGCTTTTTTTTCTTTTATTGTTTTTAATTGTGGCATTTAACAAGAGAGAAGGTGAGAAAAGAAAATGTGAGCTAGGGCTGGGGATTTAGCTCAGTGGTTCCACCGCCTGCCTTGCAAGCACAAGAACCCGAGTTCAATCCCTGGTACCACAAAAAAAAAAAAAAAAAATGTGAGCTAGTAAAGTGAAAGAAGTAGTTGCAAGTTTTCTTCTTTGAGCTTGAATCTGAAAATTGATGAGAGAACTTGGAAAATTATGAGTGAAGAAATTATAACCAACTCAAGCCTTTGTTCTCCAGTAGCCATTAACTGTCCTGATGTTGTTATTTGTGTCTTTGGCAGTACATCTGTACAGTATGAATCTGCCAAGTGAGTCACATAATATTAATAGAGGTAAATGGTACTATAGGTTCTCACTATCTACTGTTGATTATTGAAATGGATGACTTATTGTCTTTGAAGCTTAGAAATATTTACAAGAAAAGTATTTTTTCCTTTAAAAATTTTTGACCTTAAAGACTAGATTTCAGTAGTACTTCTGGATATATCCTGCTTGTCCAAAAATTGTTAAGTCTCTAAATAACTGTTATGTTACAGGATGAATCTGGCTATAGATGGTCAAGAGATGATCATTCTGCAAGCCGACAGACTGATTACAGGTAAACAGATAAAGTAATAACAGAAGTACTTTAATACTTCAACTCTCTGCGATGTGTGCTTCCCTCAGGATATAGCTGAAAATATTAGGATTTCAAATTTTGAAAGGAAGCCAGGCATAATCACACATGCTTGTCAACACTCAAGAGGCTAAGGTAGGAGGATCACTGCAAGTTTGAGTCCTGCCTGGGGTACATAATGAGTTCAAGGTCAGCCTGAATTGCAGAGTGAGACCCTTTCTCAAAAAAACAAAATAAATAAATAAAGTTAAATTTTGAAAACAGCAAGCATTATATTCATTTTGTGACTATAATAGAGTGGGTAATTAATATTCTACATATTGTTGACATTTTGTAATTTATAATAAAAATGCATACTTTAAAAATTTCAATTAATATATTCTTCAAGTTAGTATTATTAACATGTCATATGACGTATGAGGTTTAGGTGTGCTGAATTACAAGTAAAGCAGTTCTTTCAGAAATAGCCTTCTGGAATACTTATGTTATTTTATTTTATTTTATTTTATCTTTTGGTACCGGGGATCGAACTCGGGTCCTTGTGCTTGCACAGCCGGCAACGAAACCACTGAGCTAAATCCCTGGCCCAATACTTATGTTATTACAAAGTGTATTCTTTTTTTTTTTTTTTTGGTACCAGGGATTGAACTGAGGTCCTTGCGCTTGCACCACAGGCAGCGAAACCACTGAGCTAAATCCCTGGCCCTACAAAGATGTTCTCAGTTGCTTTATTTTGATTAATAAAAGTCTGTTAGAAAAAAACATTTTGAAAGGCCCTGTCTTTGTTAGCTTTGGTTACTCACAGAGGGTACCTGATAGAATAGTTGGCGAATAAAACTTACAACTAGAGCTGAGCACAGTAGCCCAAAGAGGCTACTGATTGCAAATTTGTGCCCAGCCTGGGCAATTTAGTGAGACCCTCTCTCAAAAACAGGGGCTGGGGATGTAGGTCAGTGGCAGAGTGCTCCAGGATTCAATCCCTGGTCCAATTAAAAAAAAAGTGATGGGCAGATAAGCAACTTTTTATTTGCTCAATTTTTGGTACTGGGAATGAACCCAGGGCTTCACACTGAGCTACATCCCAGCCCTTTCTTTCCTTTTTATTTTTGAGACAAGGACTCACTAAGTCTCTTCAGTTGCATGGACTGGGCTCAGATTGCCATCCTCTGCCTCAGCCTCCCAGAGTGCTGTGTGTACAGGCACAGACCACCATCCCCTATTGAAAACATGATTTTGTCATTTGTTCTTCAAATGACTCTACAGTATTCATTTTGAGAGTTTTAAAGAAGCCCTTTAACGATGTCTTATGAGCTCTCCGGGAAAAGAAGCCCAAATTCCTAGAGAATGTATTGACATGAAGAATGATAGTGTCTGCCATAAAACCATAGGTACCAGGCCAGAGCTGGACTCAAATTCAGTGGGTCAGAGCAATACATTTTATTGTGTTAGGCCTAGTCGATGGCTGTGCACACAGTGGGGTGTGCTATGGCTAAGGAACCCAGGGTCAAGAGCTCACTACCTTTTGGAGCAAGCAGGGAGTTGCGAGCTGGTCCTTTCTCTGGTAGTGAGCAGCCCTTCAGTAGTTAGGCTGTAGTTCCCTTGTCTCTATAAACGACCATAGAGACTGCTTGGCATCAGTATGTAGTTAGGTCTTATAGTTTGACATTCAGATCCCATTACAGACCACCAAGAGAAGCAAAAAAGAATAAATGCTGAAAAACAGGTTTTGATAACATTGAACACTCAGTAGTCATAAAAAGCTTATAGCCAGCTGGGAATGGAAAAGAATTTCCTCAACCTGATAAATAGCATTTGCTGTACTGAAAGGTAAAGTTAGAACATTTGCTTTAAAATCAGAACAAAATAGTGACACCTGCTATTGCTGTTTCAGCTCAGGATGATACATCTTGGCTCTTGCAGGAAGGACAAGCAAAGTAAAGGTGTAGAGATTACAATGGAAGTTTTTTCCCCTTGTTTTTTGGCAGTACTCAGGATTGAACCCAGAACCATCATGCTGAGCTACATCCCCAACCCTTTTTATTTTTTGGACTTTTTTTTTTTTTGGTATCAGAGCTCGAACTCGGGACCTTGCATTTTCGAGGCAGGTGGCAGAACCACTGAGCTAAATCCCCGGCCTGACCATTTTTATTTTTTGAGAGATTTCATGGAGTCACTAAGTTGCCTAGGCGGGGATGTAGTTGTGATCCTCCTGCCTCAACCTCCAAAAGTGCTGGCATTACAGCCATTCACGTATAGATGCGCACCAGAAAGAAAGAAAAACAAAAGAACGATTTAAAGATGATATAGTTTATGTATGTAGAAAGTCTAGGAAAGTCTGTGGGCTATTAGAACTATTAGGAAATTCCCAAAGTTGATCATAATAAAAATTAGCCTAAATTAGGAAATACAATTCTAAAATAATACTGCCTAAATAATAAGTCTGCCAAAATTATAAGATCTGTGCAAAGGAAATTACATGTTACTTTTAAAGGATATAAAAGACCCAAAATACAGCTGGAGATGGTGGCATACAACTGCAAATGTTTGAGCCCAGCCTGGGTGACTTAGTGAGACTGCCTCAAAATAAAACAGAAAAAGGGTTGGAGAAGCCAGGTGAGGTGGCGCATCAGAGAATGTTGCTGGTACTTAGGTTAAATTCTGTTTTTAGGGTATGGAGTTTATTCTATATGGTATGTTGTCATTTTTAAATTTTTTTATTTTTAATTTTATTAGTATGTTGGTAATTCATGTGTTTAAAATCATCTTTGAGAGTGGTTACATGTTCATACCACACAGCTAGTTTTTTTTAATCTCCTTCCCCTTTCCTTCCCTCCCTCTTTCCCTTCCAGTTCCCCTATTCTATTTTTCATTCTTGTTGATATTAATTTTTGTTCATGTTATGGCATGTAATATTTATATTAACTGAGCTTATTAGGTTCCTGTACATGCCATATGTTTATTCTACTTATTTCCCCTTCTCTTCCTCCTCACCCCTCATGGTTTTTCCCTTGGACCACTTCCCTTTTGTAAGACATCTAGTTTCTTGTCCCCTTCTATACATCCTTTATCATTCTCTTTGTACTTTGTCTCACTTGAAAGATACCATATGGTATTTAAGCTTGTTTGTGAGGTTTATTTCACTCACCATTGTATTTTTCAGGTGTATCCATTTTCCTACAGATGTCTCAAATCTGTCATTCTTTCTAGCAGAGTAGTATTCCATTATATAGAGAAACCACATTTTCTTTATGCAGTCATCTGTTGATGGGTATACAGGCTGCTTCCAGGATTTAGCTATTACAGGTTGTGCTGCTACAAACATTGGAATGTATGTATCACTGTAGGATAATGTCTTAAGCTCTTTGGGGAAGATGTGTAGCAGGGGGGATCGCTGGGTCATATGGAATTTCTAATTTCAATTTGAGAAATCTCCATACTGATTTCCATAATGGTTGTACTAGTTTACATTCCTTCCAACAGTGAAGGAGGGCTCTTTTTTCACTGCAGCCATGCCAGCATTTGTTATTGTTTGATTTCTTAATGATTGCCATTCTTTCCAGAGTAAGATGGAATCTTAGCATTGCTTTAATTTGCATTTCTCTGATGGTCAGAGATGTTGAGCATTTTTTCATATATTTGTTGACCATTTGTATTTTTTTCCACTGTGAAGTGTCTGTTCATTTCTCTTGCCCATTTCTTGCTGGATCTTTTTTGTGTGTGTGTTGGGGAATCGAACTTGGGTCCTTCCGCTTGCGAGGCAGGCAGCTGAACCACTGAGCTAAATCCCTGGCCCATCTTGACTGGATCTTTAATTTTAAGTGGTTTAATTTTTTTTTAGTTCTTTGTATATTTGAGATACTGTATTAGTCCTCTGTCTGAGGAGTAGCTGGCAAAAAGTTTTTCCCATTCTGTAGGTTGTCTCTTCACTCTACTGATTCATTCTTTTGCTGAACAGAAGCTTTTTAGTCTGATTCAATCCCATTTGTTGATTCCTGCTGTTATTTGCTACACTTACGTCAAGTGTTTTTATCTTTTTTATCATCCAGTAGGTTTAATGTTTAATGTTTAGATTTTTTGATACACTCTGATTTTAATTTAGTATATGGTGAGTGATGAGGGTCCAGTTTCAATCTTCTGTACATAGATAACCAGTTTTCCCAGCACCACTTGTTGAATAGGCTATCATTCCTCCAACATATGCTTTTGGGTTCTTTGTCAATACATCAGACAGTGCTTACTAGAGAAACAGGTTTAATGCAAGATTTACAAATACATAAGAATTTACAAGATTTCCTTACAATGGCTGCCTACAAAGTCAGTCGTGGAAGAGTGCAAAAGGTCTGCCTGCATGCTGGAGATATATAGGATTCAGTTGAAGTCCTGGAGCTCAGTGTGGTATCCCATGAAAGTCCATATCCAGGGGTCGAAGGGTCTGTGGTGGAAGGCTGAAGAATCTCCGCTGGAAGCCAGGAGATAACATCCAAGGTGTAGGTGAAGACTGGAGCTCCTCTGAAGAAACAGAAGTGAGCCTTTCTTCATTTCCCTTTTATACCATGCTGGCGACAATCCTCCCTAAGGTGGGTCTTCCACACCCAAAACTATGCTGATCCAATTTAATTGGGTGTTTCTTACTCAAATGAACACAGTTTACTGTCACAATCCACACTTTGTCAACTTGACAAGCAGACATATTTCTTTAAACCATAATCTCCAGAAACAAAGATAAATTCATTATTACACCTAACATGTTATAACTATCCTGCATAAAATGGAAACACATGAATTCACTCCCCAGAATGGAAGACAGGTTTTCTTTGGATGATGCTTACTCCTAACATTTCATAACTTGGAACATTATAATATGGGTTTAACAATACTTAAGAATTAATATTACCTCAACATATTACGTAGGAAATATATTAAGAAAAAGCTATTACAATCCCATTTCTGTAGCTGATATTTAAAACTACCTTCTACCACCCATATATAATCTTTTGAAGAACTTTGCCCCAGCCCTGTAAGCTGTTACCACCTAGCTGGCAACTGTTTCTTCAAAAGACCATTCCACTCTCATATCAATCCAGCCGCTTCTGGACAGTGGAGAACATGGTAAGACCAGTGAATTCCATGGGCATAAGGCCATTGCCTCACTTCTTTAGCCATAAAATGTGTTCCTTGGTCAGAAGTAATGGTGTGTATAATTCCATGTCAATGGATAAGGCATTCTGTGAGTACATGGATGGTAGTTTTTTTTGTTGTTTTGCTTTTGGTTTTTTGGTAATGGGGATTGAACTCAGGACCTTGCTGAATGGTAGTTTTGACAGAAGCATTGCATTCAGGGAAGGCAAATCCATATCCAGAATAAGGGTCTATGCCAATGAAGACAAAGTGCAGTACTTTCATGATGGAAGTGGTCCAATATAATCAAGCTGCCACCAGGTCACAGGTGATCAGTCACCCAGGGAATGGTGCCTAATCGGGAACTCAGAGTTGGTCTCTGCTGCTGGCTTATTGGGCCTTCAGCA